CTTTTAAAGGGGTGGGATAGGGAGGGTGGGAGAGAGGGAGACGCAAGAGGGAAGAGATATGCGAACATATGTATATGTATAACTGATTCACTTTGTTATAAAGCAGAAACTAACACACCATTGTAAAGCAATTATACCCCAATAAAGATGTTAAAAAAAAAAAGGCTACAAATAACAAATGCTGGAGACAGTGTGGAGAAAAGGCAACCCTCCTACACTGTTCGTAGGAATGTAAATTGGTGCAGCCACTATGGAGAACAGCATGGAGATTCCTATAAAAACTACAAATAGAGTACCATATGATCCAGCAATCCCACTCCTGGCCATAATCCAGACAGAACTATAATTCAAAGAGATACATGCACCCCTACGTTCATAGCAGCACTACTCACAATCGCCAAAACATGGAAACAATGGAAATGTCCATCAACAGATGAATGGATAGAGATGTGGTGTACGTATACAAAAAGAATGTTACTCAGCCGTGTAAAAGAAGGAAATAATGCCATTTGCAGCAACATGGATGGACTTAGAGATTATCATAGAAAGTGAAGTAAGTCAGAGCAAGAAAGACAAATATTATCTGGTATCGCTTATATATGGAATATAAGAAATAATACAAATAAACTTGTTTACAAATTAGAAAGACTCACAGACAGAAAACAAAATTATGGTTACTCAAGGGGAAGGGGGAGGAGATAAAATAGGAGTTTGGATTAACAGATATACCATATTATACATAAAACAGATAAACAACAAGGATTTACTGTATAGCACAGGGAGCTATATTCAATATCTTGTAATAACCTATAATTAAAATGAATCTGAAAAAGAATATATATATATGTATGTATATATATCTACATCACTTTGCCGTACACCTGAAACTAACATGATAGTGTAAATCAACTACACTTCAATAATAGAAAGTTGCTATGAGAGGAGAGCTCAATATTGTCACCATAATTACAACAACAACAAAACGGAAATTGAACTGATTGTGTAGTTTCCAGTGATGGAATATTCACACAAATCTCATGCACTTCCTCATGTACATTCTGGTACTCTAGAAGAATTTTTCAAAGGGAGAACATCTCAGATTCATAGATTTTTCTCAGAATACAGAAAGGAAGTCTACAAGTAATACTTGGAAATGTAGCGCTTCTATACATCTGCCTTCCCTTTGGAACCAAAAGCTCTCCTGTGGGTGGATCTAAGATATTCTTCGGTTTCTTTGTAAACCACCCTGCTTGGGTCTGTCCTCTTGCCACTACTCTAATATTCCCCTTTCTGCTGCAAGATGTTTACCACAGTAAGGTCAGTTAACATATCCTTTTTCTGACATAATTACCATGTATATATACTCACCACATTTTCTTTATTCATCCATGGATGGACACTTAGGTTTTTTCCATGTCTTGGCTTTTGTGAATAATGCTACAATGAACATAGGGGTGCAAATATTTCTTCGAGATAGTGATTTCATTTCCTTCAGATATATACCCATAAGCGGAATTGCTGGATCATATGATAGTTCTTTTTTTGAGGAACCTCCATACTCTTTTCCATAGTGGCTGCACCAATTTACATTCCCACCAACATACACAAGGGAGTCATTTAGACTTACATTTGTTGGTAGGAGTAAACCGAACTATGTAGATAAGTTCCTTGTTTTCATTGTATCACCACTTAAAATAGCTAGCACTTATGAAACACTATGATGTTCCAAGCACTAGGCTGACTATTTCATAAGCATTGTTTCACTTAGTTCTTACAAATTCATGAAGTAGATACCATCCTTACATCCGTTGTGTTTTTTTTTTTTTTCCTTCAGATGAGGAAACTGAAGTCTGGAGAGAGTAAAGAATTTTCCTAACTTAACATATACGATGTAGCAGAGCCAGTACTTGAATATTTCCTGACATAAAAGTCTGTGCTCTTAATCACCACTCAAAAATATCTCCTAAAGATATTGTTAACAGAACAAGCCACTCATACACGCACATACTCATGCTTAGGACTCTCCTTTGAGTATTAGATAGATGAGCAAATTGAAATAGGAAACAAGGGCCCAGCCCTAGTCTTTTAGTTAGTTGTCACCCCACAACACGTCATACAGAACTCTGTGATGCTGACTGAGTAAAAGACTGTATCCCAAATAAGCCATGATGTTCCCATCATTTGAGTAAATCATCTTTCCTGTAAAATCAGAAATACTTTATCTACTTTATCTGCAGTAGAAAACTATTTCAATGGGTTTCTTTTTAAGTTGGTACCATGAAATTCAACTTAGCTCGAACCTCACCTCCTCTGAGAATCTTTCCTGATACCCCATTTCTGTTCTTACTTAAATATTCCTTTTGAGTACTTCAGAGTGCCTGTGCAAATCTCTGTCTTAGCACTTATGACTCACTACGGTAATTATCGCTTTACTTTACTTCTAGGCTGTAACCTCTTGGGGTGTAAGTACCAGGCTTTATTCCATTTTATATCCCTAATGCCTTTCACAGTGCCTGAAATTAATCTGTGTGTAATAAACACCTGCCGATGAATTTAAAAACTCAGTGAATGTACAGCCAAACGACTGGCCTGTCTAAAATGGAAGAAATCAAATTCAAATTACTCTCAAAAGAAATTGTACAGCTGGCTGATAATAAAGCCGTATACTAATTAAAAATTGTAATTAGCTAAACCAAAAGTCGGAGAAGTAATTTAAACTACCAGGAGGTAAGAACTGTGCCACTAGACCACGTGACACGAACAGTTTTTTGGTTTTTTTTGACAGTTTCTGAGGGAAAGCGCTGTACAAACCAGGTTTTCAGTTCAGACGCCTGGCGGCGCTGCAGGCTAAAAATGGAGGTGGAGCCAGGCGCTTGCCACAGACCCCCTTTTACAAAAGACAAAACTGAGAGGGGCTGGGGGTTGACGCGCCTTGGAAAACGTCGGCAGCAAGCTGAGAGTTTAGACCTTTCTTCAAACAAATGGGAACTACATATATGTTGATGTTATCCCTACTGGAAGACTTCCGAAAGCTTCTTTCATTAAAGGCAACGCAGTCAAAGAGGCTGTGCTGGAAACTGAGAGAAAATCCAGCAGAAAAAGGCAAGTGGTGAGTTTTCCTTTTCTTCCTGGGCGTAGCGTAAGCGGTCCAGGAAAAGGAAGGCCGCTTTTTATAGCCGGTTCCTGGAGATTTGGCCTCGCAGCGGAAAGGGGAGTGTCTGCGTAGCGGCGGGCAGACAGACCTGAGCAAGGTGGTTTCCAAACTGACCAAAGATTCGTGAGTAAAGGCTCTTCTGTGGGTGTATCTGAAATATTCTTTGATCTCTTAATAGTTTAGATCCACCCACAGAAGAGCCTTTACTCACGAATAGGAAGCCAGACCTATAGAAACTATACAGTTCCAAGTATTACCTGTAAACTTTTTTGTTTTCTGAGAAAAATCTATGAATCTGAGATGTTGCCCCTTTGAAAAATTCTTGTGAATGTTTCAGAATGTGCATGGGGATGTGCATGAGATTCGGTTGAATTTTCCACCATTGGAAACCACACAGGGAGTTTAATTTCACAACAATACGCGAGGCAATAGTGGGGTGAGTAATTTGCCCATTCTTGGGGGAAAATCACTGGATGAAGAACAACCTATGGTAAGTTTAACTCTCACAGAAGAAAATGGTAGGTATCAACACTAGTCTCAGACCTCCTAAGGTCCAGATCGTGACAATCAGTGACAACCTTTGAGATGCATGCTCTTCAGCAACCTGGTGGTCAAAGCCTGCTCAAGATTTAATCTCAGTATATTAAGGAGCTGTTCACAGAATTCTCCAGGCTCACTGAATTTTCCAGTCTCACTGAATTCTCCAATCTCTGGTGCGTACTCACCACGCATTTTAAATACCACTCATATCTGTGCATTATAAACATCCACTGCAAGAAAATTACCAGGCAACTTCATGGCTACATGGCAAACATTCAGGCAATTTACATAGGAAGTAGTTTCAGAAATACCTTTCTTCATGTAAAAGATGTTGGATGACAATTCCATAAAATTGGTGATGTTGACACTTACCTGCTCATCCTACAAGTTCTTCCAGAAGAAGACTTCACCTCTTTAAGGATTCTCTCAGAACTCTGGAATAAAAAGAAAATGCCTTGGTCCTTCCTTCCAGAATTTTCTTTCCATTGAATGTAAAAAAAAAAAAAAAAAAAATCCCCATATTCTGCCAACCTAATGCAAGACAGAGAGACGGGAGATACATCTCTTTAACATCACCTTATCTCCAATTAAATTAGGTTACTTGAAGCTAAAAACAAGATAGTACGTGGAGACAGCTATCACTCTTGGCATTCTTGCTTTTTGGGCTCTGGGTAAAAAGCAGAGGAAACACCCCCTTTCTGAATAATGCTATAGTTGTTGTTTTATTGCTGTGTCTTCAGTAGTGTTTCGTTTTCTTCTGAAGCATAGCTAATTGTTAATTTATAGTCACAAGTACCAATGCCTTAGCTATTTTTATCTTTTGTTTACCTATAAGACAACTGATCTGGACACTTCAAAAAATTCAGTATCAATAAAATACAGGGGACTGTTCTAGAATAAACAGATGTAACACCAACAGAATCATGAAACTTGGTTGAAAAACAAGTTTTCTAAGACATTCCTTATGTCAAGTGGTTAAGAAAATAAGTGCATTTGTAAAAGGAATTCAAGAGTGAATATGAATTCTTATTTAAGTTGAAGAAAACTGGGGGAGGATAATGGAAGGATAATTTTAAAAAGTTATTAGGGACTGGATTTTAGTTAATATGGAATTATTGTTACTTCGGTACATTGAGAGACACTACTTGAAAATATTCCATTTAGATTGCCATCAGTCTGAAAGAAAGGATTGGGATTTCCTTAATGTTTTGGAAAAAATAAACACTCGGAAAGGACGCAGGGTGGCGCTGCAGCATTAGAAGTAGAAGGAAGAAAGCTACCAGTCTGCGCTCCTCTAGCCAGATGATCTGCTAAAGAAGCAAGCAGGAAAAGGAGGCTTTCTAAGGCAGTTGCTCCGGGAAATCAGGGCCATAGGCATCTCCACTGATCCCAGTGTCTGAGTGTTACTGGGAGATAGATCAGCGACAACGTGAATCCGAACTGGGTCAAGTTTGCTGGGAGACGAGAGAGCGATGGAGGCAGGAGAGAGGAAGAAATGCTTTCTGAAACAAAGGCAAGTCTTGATATTCTTTGTTTGGCTGGGCATAGCTCAGGCTGGTTCTGAGCCTAGGCGTTATTCAGTGGCCGAGGAAATGGACAGTGGCTCCTTTGTGGCCAATCTGTTGAAAGACTTGGGGTTGGAGGTAGATGATCTAGCTGCGCGGGCCCTCCGGGTCGTTTCCAAAGGGAAAAAAATGCGTTTGCATTTTGATAGGCAGACCGGGGATTTGTTGTTAAATGAGAAACTGGACCGGGAGGAGCTATGTGGCTCTACCGAGCCCTGTGTACTACCTTTCCAGATGTTACTGGAAAATCCCTTGAAGTTTTTCCAGGCTGAGCTACGGATTAGCGACATAAATGATCATTCTCCAGTTTTCCTAGACAAAGAAATAATATTGAAAATTTCAGAAGGTATCACTCCTGGAACTACTTTCCTAATAGAGCGTGCCCAGGACTTAGATGTAGGAAGCAACAGTCTCCAAAGTTACACAGTCAGCCCCAATTCCCACTTCCATCTTAAATTACAAGACAGTTCCGACGGCACAATATTACCACAGCTGGTGCTGGACAAAGCACTGGATAGAGAGGAACAGCCTGAGATCAGATTAACCGTCACAGCACTGGATGGCGGGATTCCACCCAGCTCTGGGACCGCCCTAATCCGCATTGAAGTCTTAGACGTCAATGATAATGCCCCGGAGTTTGCAAAGCTGCAGTATGAGGCGCATGTGCTAGAAAACAGCCCCATTGGATCCCAGGTTGCCATTGTCTCTGCCAGAGATTTAGATATTGGAACCTATGGAGAAATATCTTATGTACTTTCCCAAGCATCTGAGGATATTCGGAAAACATTTGGAATAAATGCAAAATCAGGAGAACTCCTTTTAACACAGGAACTGGATTTTGAATCTATTCAGACTTATACATTAAATATTCAGGCGACAGATGGTGGGGGCCTTTCGGGCAGTTGTGTGGTGTTTGTACAAGTGATGGATTTGAATGACAACCCGCCGGAACTGACCATGTCAACGCTTATCACTGAGATCCCAGAAAACTTGCAGGAGACTGTAATTGCTGTATTCAGCGTTTCAGATCCTGACTCTGGAGACAATGGAAGGATGGTTTGCTCCATCCAAGATGATCTTCCCTTCATTCTTAAACCCTCTGTTGAGAATTTTTACAGTTTAGTCACAAACACAGCCCTGGACCGAGAAACAAGATCCGAATATAACATCACCATCACCGTCACAGATATGGGGACACCGAGACTGAAAACCCAGGACAACATAACCGTGCTGGTGTCCGACGTCAACGACAACGCCCCCGCCTTCACCCAGACCTCCTACACCCTTTCCGTCCGCGAGAACAACAGCCCCGCCCTGCACATCGGCAGCGTCCGCGCCACAGACAGAGACGCGGGCGCCAACGCCCAGGTCACCTACTCGCTGCTGCCGCCCCTCGACGCGCACGTGCCCCTGGCCTCCCTGGTGTCCATCAACCCGGACAACGGCCACCTGTTCGCCCTGAGGTCCCTGGACTACGAGGCCCTGCGGGCGTTCGAGYTCCGCGTGGGCGCCGCCGACCGCGGCTCGCCCGCGCTCAGCAGCCAGSCGCTGGTGCGCGTGCTCGTGRCGGACGACAACGACAACGCGCCCTTCGTGCTGTACCCGCTGCAGAACGCCTCGGCGMCCTGCACCGAGCTGGTGCCCAGGGCGGCCGAGGCGGGCTACCTGGTGACCAAGGTGGTGGCGGTGGACGGMGASTCGGGCCAGAACGCCTGGCTGTCGTACCAGCTGCTCAAGGCCACGGAGCCCGGCCTCTTCGGCGTGTGGGCGCACAACGGCGAGGTGCGCACGGCCCGGCTGCTGAGCGAGCGCGACGCGGCCAAGCACAGGCTGCTGCTGGTGCTGGTCAAGGACAACGGCGAGCCGCCGCGCTCGGCCAGCGTCACGCTGCACGTGCTGCTGCTGGACGGCTTCTCGCGGCCCTACCTGCCGGCCCCGGAAGCGGAAGAGGCGGACGCGGCCCCGACCGCCCCTCTCACCGCCTACCTGGTGGTCGCCTTGGCGTCGGTGTCGTCGCTCTTCCTCTTCTCGGTGCTGGTGTTCGTCGCGGTGCGGCTGTGCAGGAGGGGCGGGGCGACTTCGGTGGGTCGCTGCTCGGTGCCCGAGGGCCCCTTTTCGGGCCACCTGGTGGACGTCAGCGGCACGGGGACCCTGTCCCAGAGCTACCAGTACGAGGTGTGTCTGACGGGAGGCTCCGGGTTAAATGAGTTTAACGTCTTGAAGCCGATTCTCCCTAGTGGTCTGGTTGAAGACACTGGGCAGGACTAGTGCAAAAAGGCAATTGCAAGAATAGCGTAGGTTTCATTAACAGAAGAATCAGAAAGTTGTCTGGCTACGAATGCTTTCTTTTAAGTCAAGGCTCTTGAGTTGATATAGTATTTTGTTTATATCTTGATTTTACTTTCTGTCTAGTTAACCCTGGATGTTCTTTTTTCATCTGCTTCCTACCTTTTCAATCCAGTATTAATGCCTCTCTCTTTTTCTAATAGGTGAGTAAAAATAAATGCATTATCTTTTAATGATGATTGCAAATAGGTTTATTTAAGGTAGTCATTTCAAATTCTCTATCCAAAAGCAATGTAGAGAGAGTTCTGAACCACCAATATTATAATTTACCCTATTGAATATAGTCAGGAAATATTCTTTATAATACTCCTAAAGCAGCTTTGTCTGTGGTTAATGAAGTGGATAACTAAAAATGTTTTAATATGTACCATTTTAAGGTGTATCATCCTGTAGGGGCTTAGTACTCAAATAAAACTTACACATATAATTCATTTTCTGTTTTGACATTTGCAATTAATATTTCAACACTGTATATGCTTATATTGGCTAAAAGTGGACAAAAAATG